CTAAAGTATGAAAGAAAGAAAATGAAATGGAATGTCATGGATAAAAATGATATCATTCATTCTTAAACAGAATCTGGATGAATCAAGATGAATAAACATATTTGCAAAATCCCCAATTTCTCAGAAAATATCACCTGAGATTGCATAACAAGGATTAGAAAAGTAGCAATTCGCATGCTTGGGACACGCAGAGGCACAATGAAATCAGATTAATACTACAAAACGTTACAGAGACATTTGTAGTTCTGTAAAATGTATCAATGTTCTTTTCAAAGTATAAATGCGTCAGTTCCTTTAAAAATAGTAGTTTATTGAGTTGAGGTCATAAAAGTTTTACAACCTGGTTTACCAATTTAAATATGTGAAAGGATAACATTGCTGCCTGTACAAATTTAAACAAATTACCTTTTGAATATTAAGTACCTACATTATTGAAATACATAGATATACACAATTATTACATGTATTGCATACGAAACATGAGAAGTGAATTGAAAAATGACATAAAGCATCAATTTAAATGAAAACTAATTTTGGAAGTACAATATATTCTGTCTGTAAATTACTTTGCATGATTATTCACCAGTGGCTTACATGCAAACAAGTGTATTTTTCATGTAGGTATCATTATATCTCTTCTCAAGTAAAAGTTAGACTTCTGCTAAACTATGACGAATAACAATTTTGATTTGAATTTCATGTGTTCAACACATGAGAATTTAATTATTGTAATTTTACATTAAATCCGTTTTAATTAATAAAACTTTTTTTTCCAAAATTTGTACTGCCATAACCAAAGCTAATTAACTGTATGATAATATCTAAACAGGTAATGTTTTTAACAAAATAGACAATTTCTTGAGGCCTTAAAAAAAGATACATATTTCACAATATGACTTTTCCTCCCATTTTTCATACTACTGTCACCTCAGCTGAAATAAGACTTCTCTAAAATGCAGTAATTTTCCAGATCTATAAAGCACAAAATATTCACACAGATACTTCAAACAATTTTTCTCAGCTAATACTGTACAAACTTCATGGAGTCACCCAATATATAATAATTAAATAATCAAAAAAACGATTCATTCTTTGAAATATATTCAACAAGCATATAAAAATATTCTCCACAAAACACACAATTAATGACCTGCAAACACATATATATATGAGCAAACATTAGCAATTTACATTGAAAATGGCACACATATTTACTGCATACCCTGTTTGTCTGTATGGGTGTAAAAATTCCACACCTTTCATCAGTCACTACACAAATATTAAACCATTCATTTCCATCAATAACTGAGAAAATTGCATTTTAAAATAGCAACACTGTTATCACATGACTCAAAATGGAGTCTCTTAGCATAAAGATAAGTACCACAATACCATACTCAAATTGGTGTTCTTTTCGTAGAAAAGGGAGTAAGCACGATTGAATCGCGAACACCACATTTATACAAGGTACTCTAATTCAGTTTTTGTAACACATACACTTATAAACATTTTCTTCATTCATTCATTCATTCATTCATAACAGACAATTATTTTCAGCTACATATAATGGCAAGAATAGAATAATTTTTTTTTCTTTAAAACATCCTAATACAACAAAGGACATTTTAAACAAATTTTGAGGAAACACAATGTTCTAGCTATAAATTTAAATATCATTGTACCGAAACACTTTGAGTACATAAATATCAATGTTATAGAATACGTTTGTAGTGAGCATTAAATTTCACTAACATAAGAAAAGAAAATGCATACACTTAAATTTGATACTCTATGCACAACAACACATTCTTTATAACACTGTATCAAGAGTACAAACAATTTCATATGAACAGGATACAACTTACTTCCTTGAAATCAATTACTTCCATAAAAAAAAGTCAATTTATTTCTATAATTAATTAATATCACCTGACATCACTAAACCCAGAAGGTCTTTCACATGCAGGTGATACTGGATCTTATTCCTAAATTTCATGATTGTCAATCAAAATTTAAGTCTTTAAGCTCCATATACCCACCACAGAATTTTGGACAAAGAGCTCTTCTGGTATTTGACATTGGGGTAGACTGTGATCGTTTTTTGTAGACAAACAACCTGAAAAGATCAATAGCATCAATATTAAATATTCAAATATTAAATATTCAACATCATAAACCACCTTTTTTAAGGGGGGGGGACATCTGTATCAAAAAAAATACTAACAACTATTTTTAGAACTCCCTATTTATAGATAGAATCCACACATACACTTTGTTATAGCCATGGTAAATAATTCTGTACCATTACTAGTATTCAAATTATATTTAAATGAAAGCACGCCAACACAAGATAAAATCTTTATCTATATTTAATTTATATCATCACATTTCAAAAACTGAAGGCAAAGTCTGTTGATTAATTATTTTAGATTCAATATGCTTTTGAATGCTTGATGGTTTTAAACAGATATCAAAATATACATTTAAAATTATTATTATTATTATTATTATTATTATTATTATTATTATTATTATTATTATTATTATTGTGGTTGTTATAAATGAAAATAATACATTTGACATTTTCTTTCAGTATCTCAGTAAAAGAATTTATAAATTTTCAGAAATGAAGAGCAATATTTACCTAAACACAATTAACTTTTCCAAAATGATTGATAAATTTGTACGTTCAATAAATTTCTATTTTTTCCTACAATTAAAAACATAATATTTTCTGAGAAGATTCAATATTATTTTTTTCCAATCGCAATTTAAAAGCGATCATAAAAATACAAAAAAATGCTAATACACCATATTTACCACAATGATATGCCTAGTGTGCCAAATATTCACGTGGAGAAAAGGCTGCATATACAGTTCACAAAGACAATTCACAAACATTACAGTGGAATATTATTTGTGAACAGTAACACCTAACCATTACAACTTGCAAGAAGAGGATGGACAAGCTTACTAAACCTCTAGCAATAATTCATATAATCATTATAAATAAATGAGTTGAACATGCAATTTGTTTTGTGGTTTTCTCTTTGTTTCCAGTGTATAATTATAAAATAAAACAAAGGTCTAAAATACAACACCCTACAAATTGCAATGACGATCACCTTATCAGACTTAATTTGCAATCAAACTAGAATAATTTTGAATTTTAACTGCATATCTAGATAGCAACAACTTTTAAATACACAAGAAATTCACAGATAGCTCATCAAATTTTCTGGTCTCAATAGAAACTATTTATTTCCTACAAAATCATGTTCAATAATTCGATGAGGAATTGCATTCACAAACATTGCATGTATAATCATAGTTGAATTATTCAAAAATTGCAAAGTATTCATAAAATGTCTCAAATGTAATGCTATTTGAAAGGATGTGTCTATGGTCTTGGTTCATGTAAAAAAAACTTTGTCTTCAATTATCTTCATTAACATTTAGATACTTTAATTTTGTGTCTGGAAAATTTAGTTATGAAATAATTACTTCTGTAAGGACATATTCAGCAATACTTACAGCTGAAACTTCATAATCAATTTTTAAGAATAAATGGAAATGAATTTGATACACAAATGTATAGCAATTTTACTCAAGCACAAATGAATTTCCTACAATTAAGTACATTCCAGTTAAACAATCTGTCATACATGCTTCTACACAACGTTCCCCACTTCCTGACCCCAATGATGTCCTACATATTACTGTTAATCTAATTCTGGACACCACTCTTACCTTAAGCAACTCTAAATTAAACACTTTTCCCATTAATCAAAATATGAATAATTTAGAAGGGTTACAAACAATCAGTTTCATAATTTTCATTGAGGTAAGATACATAGTACATACAGAAAAGAAAAAATTGATTTTACCTACTCAAGGACTTGTATCACTGCATTATTTTAATAGGAACAGTGGCAAAAGTAACACTATCACAATTCCTTATGGTAATACAAATAAAGCCAAATTCAAAGACATAATTTATGTAGCCAAGACCAAATTTCCCTCAGTGGCTACTGGAAAAAAAACAGGGTTGAAATTATGGGTGATACAACACATAACAGATTTTCAATTAATCTTTTATGTGAACAAATGTAAAATTTGCATAATACAATATCTAGTTTCTTAAATATTGGATAACATTAAACATAAGCACCTAAGAGGAAAAGCAAATTTGAAAGTATTATGCATCATCATGCAGAGTTAATCAGTTGGATCCCATTTCAAACTGAAAATCTATCCTCTTTCTCATTCACTACATGCTTGGAAGTAAAGTGCATATAATCATACTGAAAGTAATAATGTGAACTGGAATTCAAAATTACATAAATAACTGAAAACTAAATATAGTGTTTTTTCAGGATTATCAGCGCTGACATATGTTCCATTGCGTTTGCATTATTGCAAACATCACAATAATGAAAAGGAAATTCAATTAAGATTAAAAAAATGGATACAATAAGAATGTCTCATCTACTTACCAATGGCTCTTGACAAGACACAAAAAGTACTTCATGAAGAAATGAAAGAAATTGGACTACTAAAAGATTGAAAATCAATTATATATATAATATTTAAATGCATATTATCACCTTTTAATACATTTCTTTTCACTAATCACTATGCTGGGATAAGAAAGGAATGATTTTCTATGTAGGATTTGATCATTTGTCCAATAAGGGCCATTAAACATTGAATGATATGGATGAAATTTGGGGTTAAAATTTAATAATGGAGAAGCAGATATGCAAAATATAAATAGGTAAAATATAAATTTATATTATATTTCTAATTTATAGAAAAATTGAATTTATACAACATTTACTTTGTACTTAACAATATGTTTACGTATAGGTAATAAAAATCTCTATGTAATTTTTAAGTTTTGGTTTAAATCTTTTCTTCCATTATTAAGTTTCACTAACACAAGGAGAAATGTTTATTAATCTACAATACTCCTAAGCTGCCTGATTCACTTCCTCAGGTTCACTTCCTGTCGTAGTTTAAAAAAACATTTTATTTGAAAAGGTTTTATGAAGACTGACACAGAACTGAATTGCCTTCTTTTGACATACGTTCTCTTTTCAACTAACAAGAATGTGGAGTGTACATATTGAGAGCAGATGTGGATTTTGATCTACGCAAATTGTAATTAATTTTTTTTCTTTCGTGGTATTGTCAGAAGGACATAAATGGAGCATCAAATAAACTGAATAATACTTCTAACAAACAAAAATGGTAATGAATGACAATGAGAAGACAACTGCTACTATTTTTTACCTTCCTTTTCTGAAATAGTAGGAATTGCTTTCACATTGTCTCCTTGTTTAAAACATGTTAAATACTTTCATTAGAATAAAATCTTTATTTCACAATCTCAAAAAAGACTGAAACACAACTTGCATAATATCTTCTACATTCAGACATGCATACGGGTACACAAAAAAATACAATACGTGCAAAGAATTGCATGCTAGTATGAGTATATGAACAAGTAACAACATATACTCATTTATAACATATTCAAGGTTGCATAATGTATTATGATTATGTTAATAACTCCAAACTCCATCAATTTTATCAAAATTAAATATTCTGAACTCAGAAATAGCAAAAAGAATTAACCTAATAATAATAATTTAATTAGCATTTCATCAATAAAAACCTCCATTATTTGAAAACTGTATGAAAAAAACTTGATAACACGAATGTGGAATTTGTTGTGTAAATAAGGAACTATATAACTTATTCATAATACACTTCAACCAGATCATCATGATGCTAATTAAATAAAACAACCTTCAATGTTACACTTTTTCAGATGAATCCATTACAAACATAAAACAAACAAACCTGCATTTTTGGAGAATGCAAGAATTTGAAAAAAAAACATGATCTGTGCATTTTTAGGGTAAGCACCAGTTAATTATTAATGTATCAATGAATTTATTTCAGGTTAATACATCAATTTCAGAACAAAATAACACAAAACAGGGAACTATTAATTTTCAACAACGATAGGCACAGAAATTAGAAGACAGAAACTTACAAACATGCTCAAGTTGAATACATAAAGACATTGAAGATGTGGCTAAGATAACAAATTAATCCACATTATTTACATAAATAACAGGGAATATGGTATACATAAACAAATCTCATCATACTATATCTTTGGTAGGTCAATAATTAAGTCTTTTTCTATATAAAAAAACAACAAATACATATATTTCAGAACATATCACATATATTCTTCAGTAATACTCTGATAACTCTGGTAACAATTCTGGTATATTTTATGCAAATACTTGTGAAAAAAATAACCTTCATTATCTTATTCGATCACCTTTCGAATACTGTAAAGATCATAAAAACTTTTTAAATGCACATGTATGCCAATCTGTCAAAGTCTTTCCAGGGCTGGGTTTAATTAAAGCAGTTAAAAAAGGACGGGACAAAATAAAATCAAACAGAAATAAATTTTAAAATACTTTAAAAATCAAAGGGAACCATGTTTTATGTCCTTTTTATCTGCAATTTTGGTTCTCAGTAATAAATATGAGAATTAGCAAATGCAATTGGGTTGGAATATTTATGTCGCTACCTTCCAGTATAGTATTATGTTTGTGAAAAGTTATGCCTTACTCCAAATTTTACTAGGCACACATGCTCACTTTGCCTTATATAAATCCAACCCTGGTAGTTTCTTAATTCACAAAATGAGTTTTATTTTCAAACTTGATTGCCTTGACATGCCTATATACTACTCACTGCAACAATGATCTACTTCACAGAATAGGCCTAGTAAAATTATTGTGATAATACTGACTTAAACACTTTTCACAATACATTAGTTGCCCTGATTTTTGGTTTGTTCATAAACCTACAACTTTTTGCATTTAACAATGCTATTATTATAATCAGGATTTTTGTATATCGTGATGTGTCAAAAAATATTATAACGAGAGTAAAATTGTGCCTTAATCAGAATCTGAAATGAACAATAAAACGTAGTGGTAAAATATAATTATTTAACTGAAGAAAACATCCATTTGAAAAAGTATGCTTGCACTGCAATAGAGGAGAATAACTATTTCAAGTTTGTACTATATTTTACAAACAGTACAGAAGCTACACTCATACCAAGACTTGAGATAGAAGATTTATTATCAATAAAAGACTAAATGGCACAAAGGGTAACAATAATAATTATAACCTACGTAGAAACTTAACGTTTTCTTAATTTTAACTAAGAGAAAAATTTAAGAACAATTATGCTCTATGGTTTACATTATATATATTAAGTGAGATTATGACAATTGCTTCATAAATCCTTAGGTAATTATTTCTTTGAAAAGATTAAATCATCATTCCTTATGCAAAATTAATATGCAAAAATTAATATACAAAAATTTTCGTGACATTGTTTAAAAAAAATTGTGGAGTATGTGAGAGCAAAGAAAATTCTTTACATACTAATAGAAACAAAACTGAATATAGGTAATGTGTATAGTATTTACAAAACTTTTATAAAATATACAATTATGCTAACTCCATTCCAATGTAATTGAAGAATACGCAACATATGTAACTGAAACAGCACTATAATGTAAACAGCAATATAATGTAAAGCAGAAAACAGTAAAGTTTATATTCAGTCATCAATAGAAATTAAAATTAATCACATCAGTTAAAAATCAAAAAGGTAATATTTTACTAGGAGTAGTGAAAATGATATTACAAAATAGATGGGTCAATATCGATGGCTAAATTTTAATAACTCACAATATTGTAATCTGAAAGATAATTACATCTTCTACCAATGACACATTTCATAGAAACAATACTGAGAATTTGATAGAATTACAGAAATTAGTTATTAGCATTTTTATTAGCTTATAATGGAAACTATGCAATGTATTCTCTCTTCTGAAAAGTTGCAATTTTTGAGATACCCATTGTTAAAATTTGGCCATCAATATATAGACATATGCACGTTAAAACGCATAAGTTTTTGAAAATGTAATAGTCAATCTCTAACAAAATAAACTAATAATAATTCAAATAAACTAATCTGTTGTTTGTACCATGAGAGAGCCTAGTACTGTCGAATACACTCATTTTGGAATGCCAATATAAGGGACAAAGGCAAAGCGATTCTGAAAATATTCAGTTTAATGTCAAATTTAAATGATAATAAACATTCAACAGTATGATTCAAACATTCTACAGTATTATAAAAGAATTTACAAACAAAAGAGTCAAAAAATGTTAAGTAGCAATTTTGATAATGATTTATTTTCAATCTTCAAAATAAAAATTACTTTTAAAGAAATACTGAGTGGTTTTGATTTAAATTTCTTCAGACTAATATCCCTTAATTACCCAAGGATTACAAGCTTGATTAGTCATAATAGTTGAATGAAAACAATATCTCATTTATAAATTAAAGTGTATTCTGTACATTCATACCTACATATATACAAACACAAACAAACAACTCACAACAGAGGAAACCGGAATGATTTAACGGCAACAAATGATTTGAATTTCACAAAGGTTTCTAATAAAAATCAAGATCTTTTATAAATGGTACCTTTTTATCCAATATACATATCTTGAATATACGATATCACAATGCTAGTTGTAGAACAGTATTACTTGCAACAATTATATAAAAATGAAATGTGATTTGGTATAATAATTAATTATTTGCGTCACAATTCTCTGTATCTTCTTCATGAGAAGGACATTAAATAACATTCACACAATAAAATTGAAGCAATTTTATCACAACAATTAAAGTATAAAATGAGAAACAAACTGACATTAAACCTAGGAGGAAAAATACAGTCGACATAAAATAAGCAATTAAATGAATTTAGAAAATTAATTAATGGTACCTTCTCCTAAAATTGTAAAAGGAAATGCCAATAAAATGATGACTTTGACACACCAGTGAATAATTTTCCTGTTCAGGCACATCAATTTACAACAAGACCTTCAAGAGTTATCAACATGAATAACATGACAAACCAGAACATTTTTTTCTTTAATTCAAATAAATATCACATATAAATGAACAGCACTGCACATAAATACTAACTTTTTGAAAATTATTTTGTAAGAAAATTACAAATAGAAATTTAAAAAAAAATTAGAAGCAACAGTTCATGATATCACGATAAAGAAAAGAGCATGTCTTTTTCACATGAATACAAGTGTTAAGTTAAGTTATTGAAAAGAAAAAGAATGTGTAAGCATGCAATATTACTCAAAATTGTCAACAAAATTAAAGTGAAATAAATACACTGTAATGGCAGTGTAATGAGACACGAAGAAGGTAGTTGGTAAAGGTACATTTGGGATTCTCGTGATTTAGATTAAATCTCAAATATAAAAATAAACATGCTGGTTTACTTCATAAGTTTTCTACATTAAGACACGAAAGACGGGATCCAAAGGAAAAACAAAAAATACAAAAAATATAAATTATTGAAAGAAAGATAATATCACACAAATGAAGAGGGATTATGTAAGAATATTTTAACATAATGAAAATGCAATGCAAATTCAACAGCTGCACAATGCATACCATAAGGAAAGGTATCGAGTATTGAAATGATGAAACTTCTAAAGACTGTCAATATAACCAAGGGAGTGAAATAACATTTACGACCAAGAGACACAATATTACATGAGATTTCTACTTTTAAATACTAAATTAGGCTTTCAAGTTCATATGATTTTAAATACAATGATAGTTAAATTCAACAACTGAAGTGCACTTAAAGAAACATTTCATTAAAAAAATCATATTTAAAGTGTTAGAAAAAATGTATAAGTGGTACTTTTTGTTCAGGCAAGCAACAAATTCCAGAGTACCAAACTATTTTAGTAGCCCCATAAAAGAGCAGATTCTTCCCCATAACAAGACATTCATAACAAGCTAAGGCAACATAACATGCTTGCAGAAGGGTGTTCTCTTTCTGTAAGATGAAGTATATAGATACTCACATCCTGAGTAGCCTATGAAATAACTGGAATGGTATAAATACTGGGGTAGCACTTTTACTATCATTGAAAGAGCTACAGTGAACTCAACTATAAATATTTTGAAATATATTAAGAAATACAGTTTCAAATACAATGCAAATTTGGTAAAAATTCTTCATTCAATCCAAGGCCCCAAAAGTATAATGGAAAAAGGGTTTGTCTAGTTTACTCATTTATACAAGCAAAATGATGAAGTTATCTCCATGATATCAAAAATAGGCAAAGATCATGAATGTCCAACATTATTTACTTTTCTACTGCAGTCATGCGATAAGTAGGATTTTCATGGCAGGTACAATGTATATTAGGGTATATTGGGGTTTATCAGGATAAGTTGTTTTGGAGAGAAGAGGAATTACTATATTATTTCTGTAAAGAATGTGAAATAAAACTACTCTATAGAAGAGTACCCTAACTTTGGAATGGAACCCCAAAATATATGTATGTAACAAATGGTATTTAAGTTCAGAACTTCTGTATGTCTATTCAAATGTTTTAAAAGTTAAGATACTAACATAAGAAATTTTGCAGAGAAAAATATTTTTCTTCTGAAAAATAATGCAACTCTATGAAGCTGGATTTTATTTTGCCATTATAATAGATTCTTGGTTCAATGGATGAATTGGAATAATGCACTACTTAGAAAATTAAATAATATCAGCTTAAAAAATGGGATTTGCCATTGTGATATAACAGTATCTGGAATGCAATTTGTAGTAAATATTGAACTGAATTTAGGAATATTCAAAAGGATGTCGTGTAAATTAACTTTTCATATTAACTAAAAACAGCTAATTATAAAGCCATAGAGAAACAACTATCTAATCTCTATGGTAAGGCACTCATGGCATTCGTGGAGATATGATCTATTATTTTTATCACAACACTAGAACGCTAAGGTAATATAATTTCTGGCCTCAAGCAATTATTTAGAGCAGGCAGGCTGGGAATGAATGCTTTTTTCTACTAATGAAGATGAAAGTAAATCCTGAAATTTCACTTAAGATTTTATACCCAAATCCAACCTCTAACCCCACAATACGAGACCTACAATGAAAATTGTTAAAACATAGGCTTAACTGAACAAATACAGGCATAGATTTACTACACATCAGATACATCATTACAAGTTATTCAGAAAGAATATATTCTAGCTTCTGTGAAATTTGCATGAAGTTTATCAGGCTGCAATTTTTTATTACCCAGACAGAAATAGTTTTGAGAAAAGTAAATCAGCATATATAAGGCATGCTTGAAATTTAAAGATAAAATAAAGAGAAATTTTGTGCTAGAAGAACATACATATAGATACGAAATTATTGATACATATAGATATTCCAAATATTACTGTAAGGTAATTAAAGGAACAATCTAACAAAATGTTTAAATACACAGTAAGTACTATTTAAAATATCAATATTTTAATATCTAGAGAATACTGTGTGTATGTGATTTGTGTGTGTTAGTTTGATGTAGAGTGTGTGCGTGCATTACAATGTTCATATGTGTAAATTTGTTTGTGTCTAGTTGTATTTGTAGTATTTTTTACACATATGGAAATCAAAACTTCATTTTACATTAATGATAACTATCAAGAAGTATCAAATCTGGATAATTATTTCCCTCTTTTCTCTTCATTATAAAACTCTTTCATTCGCTTATACACATTGCACATGCCATCAAGAACATGTACACAAAACAAATAGGAACAGCATATTCTAGAAAGCTAATAAATATTACATATTTTCTGTACATTCGAAGGTACAAGTTTTCATGACTCTAACCTACTCTAACAGCAGATTAAGTTTTATTTTGTCCATCCTCTCCCTTCTTCTTTCAAACCTGTGTACAGGCCATTCATCAGCAGCATAAACAGGAAATTAAGACCTCGAAATATCCTCTCGCAATTCTATCTAATGACATTAAATTAAAAATTCTGAAACAAGAAAAAAAGAAAAAACTTCAATATCAAGCAAACCCATCACTACAAATCTATCTTCATATGCAACAGATGCAGCAATTTTTCATATCACAGAAACTTACCTCACCCTATACTTCCTGCCGCAAGTGTGGCAAGTAGAGCATAAATAGCTGTCAGGATCTGACTTTCTTTGGTTGCTGACAAGATTGTTGCCACACTGGAGGTCTGAACCACTTCAAATTTGTCTCTGAGAGTTATGTTGTGACCATATTTATCCAAGAAATCCATGACAACCCCATTGGACCATCCAAATCCCAACTGAACTCGATATTCACCACCTTCTCCATGACCACCTAGTTTGGTTGCGTCATACTAGGAAGAAAAATTAACACCCAATGAACTCTTAAAACAATTAATGGTTAAGGTGAGTTAATCACACTAGTAACAGAAATTTATATCAAGAATTAATTTCTCTTTGAAAAAGTGAAAAAGATATTTTAGTAAGTTTTATATCTTCTGCTTTATCTTAAAAAAAATACAAGCAACATACCTTTTCATACATGTTTCCTGTTTCATTCCAAGCTTTAAAGTTGGAGCGTACCCACTTCTGTGCAATTTGATATGCCAATTCTTTTGCCCATGGATCACCTGTAGCATCCAGGCTTTCCACAAACAGATGCTGCAATGGAGCCCATGCATTAGGGTAGTCCCACTGTTCATTTGACAGTTCCATTGTTGTTGGGATTCCTCCTAGGAGTACTGTGGCACGACTATGCTCCAAGTATTTGAGTACACGTCCTACATATTGCTCTTTGTGTGTTGTATCATAGCAGCCAGTCCATAAAGGAGAAATATTGGTTGGATAGAAATAATCACGTCGTTTATCATTTATCATATCATAATCTAACCAAGCACCAACTTCTTTGTGCCACAGAACAGCTGTCACAGCTTCTTTTAACTTCTCAGCAATGTCATTATACATTTCAGATTTGTTAAAGTCTTTAAATCTTGAATAATAATTGGCCAATGTTTTGGCATTTCCATATAGAACTGCATTAAGTTCCACAGGAATTATGGACCTGACTTTCAAATTTGTCAGGTTGCCTGAAATTTACATTAATACAAAACATTCAGAAAATAATAAATAAATTAAAGTGTCCATAATAAAATATTTTTTTCACTGCTCTTGTGCAATTTTACGAGATACAATACCTTTGTTAGTGCCATTCAGAACAAACCATCTACTCGAAAAGTCCCAGCCAGATTCAGCAGCTGCTTTAAGTTCAGAGTAGTAATTTTCTTTGTCTTCTTCAGTGTGAAAGAAGTGCGCACTCTCATAATCTTCTCTAATGAGAAAGAATGGGTAATTATCACATTGAGTGAATTTTTAAGAGATCAAAATTTTAGAATTATCAGAAAGCAATTTCAATAGACCATGCATGCACAAAATGTTGAAGAGAAGAACAGAAAACAAAAATTCAAAGGCAGAAATTCAAGTATATTAATTTTTTCCGAAGAGTGGGACTTATGAGTTTCTTGTATTGTCATTAGTAAACGTCATTGTTTAACTCTAGAAGGTACTCCCATTTCAGAGACTAATATTATCTGGGGGAAAAAATGTAAACCTCTGTTATGATTAAATTACGATGTTCCTAATAGTACACATGTTATTAAGTGTTATTGCAATTAAAATATATGTACTGAACAATAATTATGAACATTGATAGGCTTATTTTCTAGTTATGAGATTAATGAACATCATTCACAATTCAGTGAACACCAAATTAAGTTATAAAACATAGAAATAAAAAGAATAAAACATAATCTTACTTGTATGACTCGGGTCTTGGGCCATTAGAATTGTCCTTGTATCTTGCTAGAGTGTACACTTTTCCATCTTTTTTAATGTTAACTGTGTGATTCACCATCCAATGTTGAAATTCTTTATCCAGAGTATCTATATTCTTTTCAATAAACTCATAATCCTGAGTGGTATCTACATAAGTTTGAACCATCGGTATGAGGAATGGTGGTTGTGAACGCATTGCGTAATATATACGACCTCCATTGGGTATAAATCCAAACCTTTCAACAATGGATAAAAAGTTCTCTAGCATTCCCTTGACAGTTGACTGCATTTCTGACAAAAGTAAACCTCTGATAATCCAAAATGAATCCCAATAGTAAAATTCTCTAAACCGACCTCCAGGTACAATTACAGGATGAGGCACATAGATAATGGAATAGAATTCAGGACTTTGTTTAACTGCATCTTTCATTTTACGGCCCAATGATTTCCAGAGACTATTTAAATGTTCTGCGAATCGACGGAAGTCTGGATCTTGAATTTTATTTAAAAATTTGGGGTTTGGTATCCAATCGACTGGATCCCAGAATTCAAATTCGCTCCCTGGTTCTTCAAATGCTTTTGCAAGGAAATTCAAAATGTCTTGCTTATTAGGTTTTCCTTGTGTTTCATTCATCATTTCATTGAATATTTCTAAGGTCCTGGAAGGTCCATATTTCATTTTCATGTCTACAAATTCTTTAGAATCTCGTATTCCACTTCCCAACTGCACGTAATGTAGCAGGTCTCCATGACAATATATTTCACTGCAACAAAAAAAAGAAAATAGATAAAAATCACAGCTTCTTGGGCTTCAAAATAGAAGCAAAGTAATGTTTACCCAAGTCATTTTCACATACACAATAAAGACATATCAGTTATTTCATGTTTTAAAATGGAAAGAGATCCCATCACTTAAAAATGTTGACCCTCATTTTAGAATGTGGGAATATATTAGTGCATAGACTAACATATAAGCTTATATTAATATGGGATGTGTTAAATTAGAATGACATTGTTTATAGAGCCCTGATGATCATCCCTGATGACCCTGAATATCAAATTCATCAAAATACCAGCACAAACTAATAGTATTTTAATTATTTTCTGACTTAACTACCTACTGTCAATAAACTGCAACTAATTTCTCGGAAGATCAAGAGAAATTATTTCATAAACGAACATGTATGTACAACTCCGGAGCAATTTCAACCTAATTTACCAAAGAAACTTGGAAGTGATCGAGAAATAAAAGGCGTTCGGAATTCAAAGTATCATAAATTTTTTTCTTTTTATCTTTTACTTGCTTGCATACTACTTATGTAGTGTACAAAAGTATTGTAATTCTGCGTCTATGTGCAACGCCAGAGCTTAAGCAGTCCAGACATTTTTCTCCAAAATTGGTATCGATCAGACAGAATTTGACACTAATATTTTGATTTAACTCATCTTCATAATCTCTTATCAGTCAAATCAGTTATACTTCCAGGCACAGCCAATTAGGATCAGGCACTGCTATAATAGAGAATACGCAATGCGCAAGACATCGAAGATAATGGGGCAGCAGTTAGGATGGGACATGTTCGGCCCAAGGCCGGGTGCAGGAACGGAATGGAGTTGTGAATAAAGTTGTTTCCATAATTAAATCTGTTCAAAGTGGTTGCCCCGACCGGGACTCGAACCCGGGCCTTCTGGTTTACGCCCAGCTGCACCAAAACAACCAATCCTTTGAAAGTTGCTTCCGGTTTACACAACAGAGATAATTCATTCCTTTTCCTTCTAAGAGACGCTTGTGACAAATACGCGGGCAACGCCAAGTTATTTCATGTAGCTAGTGAAAAGAAAATAAATTTAAAAAACATTTCATTACTTTACAATGAAAACTACTTATGCGGCAAACTATTACTTATGCGGCGAAAATATCTGTGTGAGTGTGTAGTGTGTGGTGTGTGTGGTGTGTGTGGTGTATGGTGTGTGTGTGGTGTGTGTGTGGTGGCTGTGTGTGGTGTGTGTGGTGTGTGTGGTGTGTGGTGTGTGTGTGTGGTTGTGTGTGGGTTTGTTTGTTGTTGTGTGGTGGGAGGTTGTGTGTGTGTGTGTGGTGTGGTGTGTGTGTGTGTGGTGTGGTGTGGTGTGTGTGTGGTGGTGTGTGGTGTGTGGTGGTGTGGTGGGTTGTTGTGTGTGTGTTGTGGTGTGTGTCTGTGTGTGTGTGTCTGTGTGTGTGTCTGTGTGTGTGTGTCTGTGTGTGTCTGTGTGTCTGTGTGTGTATGTCTGTGTGTGTGTGTGTCTGTGAGTGTGTGTGTCTGTGTGTGTGTGTGTGTGTGTGTGTGTGAGCGCGCGCGCGCGCGCGTGCGTGCGTGCGTGTGTGCTTTTCGATGGTAATAGAAAACTATCATTTCTAATAAACAGGGCCAATTGTCCTCTTCAATGGAGCTGTAACTTCTCTTTTGTACGGAACGGTTTTGGTCAGTTTGTGAATATTGAGGCGTTTTAGAGCTGAAGAATGATTACGAAAATGCATGACCATTGTTTATATCAAACAGACTTCATCCATTCTGACAATGCATTATTGGAATCGAAGGGTCCTTGTGGTCGCCGTTGTTCTGGGTTCAAGAAGGTGATAGTACTCTAAGAACCTTGTGGCCTGTGAGCGCCCTGTCTTTCGCTGTTCTCACTGGCATTGTTCTCAACTTCCCAGCGGCTTCAAGGATGTCGGTCAAGCAGCAGAAGTAGCAGGCGTCGTTGCGGGAAGAGGGGAAGGGAAAATCGGCCGTCTACCTCCCTTTCCATAGCGACTCTTCTCTATGCGACGTATTTCCCATAGTTGTGATCAGGGAAGGCGGAATTCGACGATAGTCAAGCAACACGAGATCAAACGATACGAAAAAAAAAATCCAAACATCAAGTTCCTCACATTTTCCTAAAATTATGTACGGGGGCAACCTTTGGGCATCTTTCGTGAAACGATTCCTCGGCACACTTAACAGCCTTGTCCTATTTGAACACCGACAGAGCCGTCGCACCTAACAAACCTACTCGTGTAAGCGTGAAACAAGATGCCAAGGAACCTCAAATAAATTGTTGAAGTACAGAAAAATCAGATTATGCCCGTAATAGAACACGTATGAAAAAATATCTGTCAGCTCTTAGTATCAACAGCGCATAATAAAAAATTCTCATGTAATACATGTACAACCGATTGCTAGATCACACTGAACAATTACAATCGATTGACAAGTTAAAATGCTAAGTAAATACTTTCTACTAACTGCAATTAGATATTAGCTACAATTACTAACTACAATTAGATATTACGTCTCACAATCGAAAATGGTAATAATGCATTGATGGTGATGATGGTTACCTTTCGAACGGTAAATTCTAAGACTGCATAAGCATGTAAGAAGAATTGCAAACAGCTTCTGGATTAATGACCTATCTTGATCAAGATTCTCATTCAGTTTTCCTTGATCCATTGGGCAAATGCTAAGATGGTCCTGGCTTCCCTTTCGATCATTATACATATGTAGCTTTACTTTCACTCCCCGTAAATCACATCAGGCCTAGCGGATTATGTGGGTAGCTATACCCAAACGAAAAATCGCGAGTGGGTAAAATATCCACATGGAATTAGAGGCGAGAGAAATATTCCATGAACGTCAATTTCCATAAATGAACGACATTTCCTGCTATTGCGTCGATTCAAATCTGTATATGCGAAACAACTGTTGCAAGATCGGCTCAACAGTATTGCGGTTGTGTTTATAGCCACACGACCGGCAAAATCGATTCGCAAAAATTGTAAAATGAGTTTATATAAAAAATGCAAAGTGCAGCGCTGTTTTTGCATTGCAAAAATGAACTGCGTAAGTTACATAAAATAAATATGATAACAATTTAATGATAAACAAGACAATTTGAATAAAATATGTTTTGTATTTTTCCTTCACATTCATTTTCAGTGGGAGATGACCCGTGGGGGAGGGGGGGTCCCCACTCGGACATAAGACCAATCGCCGGCCCTGTATCACATACCATTTGTTCTGTTTTAGGCGTTAAATAAATATACTGACTAAATAAATATGATACATCAGCGTAGAAATAGGAATGCAAATTAATAGGGCTCAATGCGCCTGTCATTTACATCAGCATTCACAAATTAAAAAGCGAGACTATTTAATTTCAGACGAAGACATGGAATGGATTCAACATAGAGGAATTCACGTGGCTCCACGTCTTAATTGATTAGTGATCCCGGGTGCGTCAACTGCTAAAGTCATTAGACCCGTAAATGTAGTGCATGTTTGTTACTCGGGAGGTGGCGTTGATTCCCCCCCGCTGAATAGTGAGATCCGATGCCGACATACTGTCGGCTAGCGGTTTTTTCCAACCAGGTATCTCCCCCCAGCGGGGCACCGCACGTGTAATACATGTGTAAGTAAAGTGTGTGTGTGTGTGTGTACGTAAGGGGTAAGGATATGACAAGGAAAAGGAAGGAAAGATCGTGAGTTGTCCGTCGCCCGTTTGTTAAGGAACTGTTCCAGCATTCGCCTGGTATTGACTGGAGAAACCAAGGAACACTACCGATCAGACCAAGCGGCCGCTAGAATTATCCTCCAAATAGGGACTGAACCAGACATAGCTAGGTAGCAAGTGTCGAAAATTTTGCCATCGTCGGGACTCGAACCTAGGACATCCTAGTCAGATTCACTGCAGGGCACATTAGTTGATGTTCTGCACATCAGCACGTCAGTTGATGCCTTGATGGCTACATGGAAATTGAGAAAGTCTGGAACATTTGAATGTTTAATAGTTAAATTAAGGTACGATTGGAGAAAAGGAAAATGTGTCAACCTTGCCCTTGGCAAAAACAAGTCAGTCTGCTCTAGTATAACTGAGAAATAGACAAGAGTCTCATCATTAGAGAGCGGATCGATAGACACCATAAAATGGAGAATGATGTTGGGATGGGACTAGGACAGTTTTTTACATACGGGGAACAAATTTACAGAAAAAATTACAGCAGTTTTCGAGAAAATAATTGTCTCCAAATTACCTATATTTCACAGAACACTACGAGACAATATTAACATTTTGCAAAATAGTACATGACCTTATTCCAAGATGTCTTTGACCAACACATTTAATTCAGTAGAAAAATTCAATTTTCAATATTGCCGCCGAAAATTTGTGAACTTTTGCAATTTTCGACAAATGAGGGTTTCAACAAAAAAGAGTCCAGCGATATTATTTTAAGCATCCTTAACGCTCTCCAAGGACAACTTTTATAAAAAAAATTTGGAATCAATTTTGAGAAAATTTTGAAAATGTAAATGAGGTTTCATAAAAAGCAACCTGAAAAATCTAAATATCCGTTTCAAACTTGCAGTATCGCGAGTTCGTTAAGATCGTTCTGTGAATATCAATTTCGATAAAAATCGTCAGGACGGTTTAGGTGCTAAGGTTGACCACAGACGTTTTGCCGTCAAATGCTTTTTCGATATCAATTACCCACACAAAACATGGATCTGACTGTATAACGTGATAAAAGAAGTAATTTACCACATATATGAACGAGATTTATTCTCTTTTTCATTGTTAGGGCTCGAAAATAAGAGTTTTTCTTTTAAAAAATTGCCGTTTTCTGGCGCACGATTACAATATTTTCTCTTCTAAGGAAGTAAAGCGAGAAAATATAATGTGATAGAGATAAACTATTGTTTTTTCTTCACTGAATTCAGCATTCTAAATAAGTTATGATCATTATATTTTAAGTCATATACAGGAAAAAAGGTTGACACTTGTAACATAATATAATTAACGATGAAATAATAGCACGAGGGATCTTATCGCAATTGGACTTCAATCCTCAAAAAATATTCATAGAATTAATGATATTTGGTTGAAAAACTGACAACGCACTTCATATTCTAGAAAATTTTAACACACGCAAATGTTTAGCACAATATGCACACGAAAACCTACAAAACAATGCGCAAAACCGGAATAAAAAAGTCTTGAATCGCGACGAGAAGTGTTCATCGTTTGTCATGGATCCCTAAGTACAAAATTTCCAATAATAAAAAATTATTAAAGAGGTAGTATAAAGGAATGCGTTGGGGGCAACAAGAATAAAGGAAAAAGTAAAACTAAGCGTTGTCGGAAGTACCGACAAAAGCTTCTGATAAAGTCGCCTGCATGATAATCCAGGGCACGTGTCGTGAGGTGAGGTCAGGCGGTAGATTACTTCACTCAGACACCTTATCTCAGCAACAAAACGCAAACCTCGAATCAGGTTCCATTTGTCGTTTCATTGCCACTGGTCATGCTAAAGGTGGCCCACTCTTCATTTAGCGCCCCCCACCCCCACCCCACGCTTCATGGACACAGACGAGACAAACGCCATCAATTTTAAAAATTCTGTTTAACAGAAAATAGTAGAACTATATGTGATAATAGCAGAAAAGTAAATAATGTTTTGTTTCTAAAAAAATAATTTAGAGATGGTAAAATTGTGTTTTGAACGATACGAACAACTTAACAATGGAAGCTTAAAGAATGTTTCCTTACGGATGAGTATGTGAGATCAAATTGATAAGTCTGAAAAGGGCGACCGTGCTAGTGTGCGCGTGAGCGAGAATGAATGTCCTACATACGATACATACCTAAATTCATGACCAAATCTTTACATTTCTTTCCACATCAAAAATCACAATGGGGAACCACCTACTAGGCAGAATCCGAATCCGTAGCCCTGGGCTTCGCGTATTTGTAATTACGTTTCAAGCCAGTATAACACATAGGCAAGAGCATATCAGAGGCAAATAGAGTTCTAAGCAAAGGATTGGAACGACGAGACATGCAAATAACAGAAATAAAGGAGCGAGGGAGTTTCACAAATGTACTTCATAATGTTGAACGAATGGCAGGAGCCTGCGGCAAATCACAATAATGGATGTGTTTAAAACAAACATGATAAAATTAACTAGTGGTGCTAGCTTTCTCGCATTATTTACAGCACACTTTCTCGCATTATTTACAAATTGCCAATTATCGAAAATTCAGAAGTTCACAGAAAATGAGACCCGCGCCATTCTTCACATTTTTTCCACAGATGAAAGAAAAACTTTAGAGCGGCTTTTGAGAATTTTGTTTTAGAAATTTCACACATAAATTATGTGAAATCCAATAATTATTTTTTTTAAAATTGCATGAACTTTTTAAAAAGCTGATTTTTTACAACAGACTTTGTATAAGCCAAAAATCTCTATCTTCAATTTTGTAGTTTTGAAATGTTAACTTTTTGCAATTTTCGAAAAAAACGAGAGTTCGCCGAAAATGGGTCTAACATCATAATGTTTTACCGGCTCTTGATATATACAAGGAGAAAATTTAAAAAAAAACAATTTTTTGCGTTTTTTAACTGTTAAAACAATTTTAAAATTGCCTATATTTAGCGCAAAGTTAAATGAAAACTACTCATTTTTCCAAAAAATAGCATTATGACTTCATTTCAAGATCTATATTTAAAGAAAAGATATTGTTAGGGAAAACAGTCTCTATCTTCAATATTGTAGTTGAAGGAAGACTCCCTAAAAATGGCACTTTTGCAATTTTCGAAAAATTTGGAATTTCAAAGAACATTAGACCTGTACCATTTTCTTAAGAGTCCTTTACTCCATCTGAGGAGAAAGTTTAATAAAAAAATATTGAAGACAGTTTTGAGAAAATTTTGAAAATGTTTTTGAGGCTTTATGTAAAGTACCACCAAAGATCCAAATATACGTTTGAAAGTCCCAATGCCTGGACTTTGTTCAGATCAATCCGAAAATATCAATTTTGAAGAAAATCGGCCGAACGGTTTAGGCGGTAGCGTCGACCAAGGCCGGTGGGACGGACGGAAAGACGTTTTGCCGTCAATAGGTTTTTCGGTAACAAGGACCCACAAAACATGGATTCTGGCTACATCACGTGGCAGAGGAAGTATAGCAATAGCATTTACCCTCCTTTTCATTACCAGGGCCCGGCAATAAGTTTTTCTGCCGCAAATCTGCCGTTTTGCGGCGAACGATTACATAACCTCTTCTTACGAAGTAAGTGTGAGAAAGTAGAAATAAAACAACGGGTGAATGTGAAGGGTAGAAGAGGAGTAAAAAGCAAAAAACAAGAAAAAAACTCTCCCAGGGGGAGGAAAAGAGCACACGAAGGAATTGAAATACAATGCGAAAAACACGGAGAGAAAAGGAGTCTAAATGTAATGTCTACGAATTGAAGTTATTCATCCTCGCTTATACTGAATTCCTAAAAACTTTTCATTCAGTTTCCAGATCAAAGCCATGAAAGAGCACTAACTGTACAAGTAAAACGTTCCTTCCATCGAAAAGTCGGTATGGAATCCTTGAAGCATATTTGTCTTTTGGCAGGCACTACTTTATGTAGAGTGTTATGCAATGCGAGTATTTTCGCTGCGAGGTTATTCCTCGGCTTCGCGCACCGGAGCGCAAAAGCCTACCGAATTTTTCTTGGCTAAATATTTCCCGAGAAAACTGGAATACAGCACACATTATTATAATGATGCAAGTAATATACGTCGAAATTAATATATATTTATATATATATATATATATATATATATATATATATATATATATATATATATCAAATCACATACCACATTGAAAAAGACATGAAATTAGATATTAAGTAATTTAATTTTACTTTGTACATAAACTTGTGTATCGATTTCGATTGTTCAATGTTATCTGAGAGTGTGTAGTAAAGTAAGGTTCATGTATTATATGTGGCTTCCTTGTAGAGAGCTGTTGATACATCTGATGAAAGTGATTTTTGCGACGTGTGTTGTAGTTAGAAATATGAGTATTGTATGTAAATATGTTCCCACCGTTAAATAAGTCAGTTTTTACAGAAAACACGGATTCATAAATAAATAGACAATGCCATGGTAATATTTCAAGCTCAATGAAGAAAGGCTTGCAGGAGTCATGTAGATGGCATTTGTTTATTATTCGCACAATTTTTTTTTCTCAGTCTAAAAGTCTGGGTACCGTATGATAGGAATATTATGTCATATCTCAGGGGGGAACGTACATATGCAAAATACACGCAACGAGCTGCATAAAGGCTGACAGAATTTGAAAGAATTCTAAATGCGTAAAATAATGAACTTAATTTAGTATTCAATTTATTTGCATGGAGATTCTATTTGAAGTTTGACCTGGTTGAGAGTCCCAGAAATTTTGATAGCTTTACATCAGCCAATTGCATATTCCTCAATTTCAATGACGGATGAAATAGCCGGCTTGAAATGCAAAATTGTATTGCACCCGTTTTCCTTCATGAACTATTAACTGGTTATTACACGAAACTAATCTGAAATTACTATACCTCTAAATGTTTGTTTTTTGCAAAGAACATTGGTGTCATCAGCAACCAGAAGCGTTCCTCCGTTTAAATTGATATCGAATACATATCGTTTACGCATAAAAGAAAGAGGATAGGGCATTATCTGGAATTCTAAATGAAAGTAATTTTGAGAGCAAAATTTTGTGTTCAATGACGTCAAAAGATTTCGAAATAGTTTAAAATATTCCAATAGAAATATCTTTACGAAAAGAAAAAAAGTCCGTTTCTGTAGATTTTGATTTGCTAAATCCATATTGAGAGTCTGAAAATGCGTTTTTTCTAAGAAAAGTTAGACTTAAAAGTTAAAATTAGACAACGTAAATTGAATTCCAACTTGCACAACATGAAATAACTCACAATCCATAATATAACATTTTTGTTTACAAGAAATCAACCAAATTAACATTGTTGACGTGTCAGTGAAGTTAATTGATTATACAATCACAAGCCTCGAATGCGATTCTGAATTTGACTGATTGCCACCCCCCTAAACCTGACGGAACAATCTTAACAAAAGAATTTCAACTTCACTGTCTCCATCGAGTGGAAGCCCCGCGTGCGTCACGTGCGTAGAGTGCGCGAGGCAAAAATACGTGCAGTTGCGTCACGTGCGCGGCGTTTGCAAAGATTTTGAGTGACTGCCAGCGAGGCACCACTCACAACTTTGGTGGATATTTTCATAGAGAAGATAAACTTAGCTAGGCTAATTGTGACGGTCTAACCCTAACAATAACCCTTTCAAGAAACCTCCAAAATTTCGTCAGAGATTCTTTCATGGTGTAACTTTAGTTAATTTACTTAAATCTCATTCTTGTGCTATTCCTTGTTTCAAGAGATTTAAACTTGTATGTACTGATTGTAAAACTTCTTGAATTGACCAAGCCATATCAAAACATCCTAAAAATATCAAATGCAAATGAAAGAACACAAAATACTGGAGTGAGAAAGCGATGTTAATAATAATACTAATAATAATAATAATAATAATAATAATAATAATAATAATAATAATAATAATAATACGGCATGAAGACTTTGGGAAGAATATTTACCCTTCAGAAGATAAAAAGTCACCCCAAGAAAACCACAATCGATATAGGATGGTTAAACTACTTTACAACTTCTCGAATTTCGAAAATTGTAGCTGCAGCAATTTTTAACCTCCCTTATACCTCCAACAATGAAGTTAGAATTTTTTTCTCTCTTGCCTTGCTATTGGAGGATAGAGTTTAGGAGGATAGAGGATAGAGTACGTAGAAAGAGAAAGTGTTCTAATCGTGCGACGGAAATCGGCGATTTTCCGACAGAAAAGCTCTTATTGTCAGCCCCTGGCAACTAAAAATTGGATAAATCTTGTTCCTACAGGCAGTATATTACTTGATTCTACAAGTTATGTAGTCAGAATCCATGTTTTGTGGGTCCTAGACACTATCTGAGAGTCAGTCAGTCCGTGTTCAATGCTAGCAACTACAGCGCGTTCAGATCCCTTTCGCAAAAATTGATATTCCCCGATCGATCTAAAAGAACCCGAGACCCTGCTAGTTTGAATGGGGATATTTTGAATTTTTCGGGTAGACTCAACATTTTCTCAAAAAATGGCCCCGCATTTTTTGGTTATTAAACTCTATCCTCCGATAACGTCAAGAACTCATTAAATAACGGCTCATTTTCAAGTGTCGTTTTCGTTGAAATCTATCCCCGATTTTTAGAATATTAAAACAGTTCAAAAGTTTATATCTACGTCTTCCAACAACTAGTAGAAAAATACTAGTTTAAAATAATAGCTATTAAAAATAGAATATATTAAAAATAGCCATTGAAAATATGTTTTCTTTAATGAAACCTGTATTTTAACGACAGATCTTAAAAATACGAGTGG